GAAGAAGAAAAGGAACAAAAATATGCAGACCCCATTTCCAAGGAAGTTTAAACTTGCTAAACATGAGCTGCCATAATTTTGAATCCCATCAATAAACATAGAAGAAAATGAAGTGAAAGAATAGACTAAAAGAAAGTGGCTGCAAAAATGTGTCTGCAATGACACAATATTGCTGGGGTCAAAAGGTGGTGCATCTGATACAGTTCTTGCTCAACGAAGAAAATGGCACACGTACCTGGAAAAAATGCAACAGACCCACCCTGGCACCTAGACCCTAAACCCTAAAGAACCAACCCCACCCTGGCACCCAGACCCTAAACCATAAAGAACCAAACCCACCCTGGCACCCAGACCCGCCTAGCGCCGCCTAGCACCACCTAGCGCCGCCTAGCGCCGCCTAGACCCGCCTAGCGAAGCCCAAACCCGCCTAGCGCAGCCCAGACCCGCCTAGCGCCGCCCAGACCCGCCTAGCGCAGCCCAGACCCGCCTAGCGCAGCCCTGACCCTCCCAGGCCTCCTAGGCCGATTTTTCAAACCTCTCCCGCTGACTATCCTCTTAATTGGGTTGTGGATTGCTCAACAATCCTTGTCTCCTTGTCCTCTTAATTGGGTTGTGGATTGCTCAACAATCCTTGTCTCCTTGTCCTCTTAATTGGGTTGTGGATTGCTCAACAATCCTTGTCTCCTTGTCCTCTTAATTGGGTTGTGGATTGCTCAACAATCCTTGTCTCCTTGTCCTCTTAATTGGGTTGTGGATTGCTCAACAATCCTTGTCTCCTTGTCCTCTTAATTGGGTTGTGGATTGCTCAACAATCCTTGTCTCCTTGTCCTCTTAATTGGGTTGTGGATTGCTCAACAATCCTTGTCTCCTTGTCCTCTTAATTGGGTTGTGGATTGCTCAACAATCCTTGTCTCCTTGTCCTCTTAATTGGGTTGTGGATTGCTCAACAATCCTTGTCTCCTCGTCCTCCTAATTGGGTTGTGGATACTGGGGCCAAGTCTCATATCACCAATGATCTGGGTAACTTGTCTCTTTCCCTAGAATATCATGACCATGATTATGTTGATGGTGTGCTTGGTGGAACAAGTTTGCCTATCACCCATATTGGCTCCTCTAGTCTTCCTATTAACAACTCTATTTTTTCTCTTATTGATATCCTTCACGGCCCTACTGCTTCTTGTAATTTGTTGTCCGTTAATAAATTTTCACGGGATGATAACTGTTTCTTCACGTTTTTATCCCAATCATTTTTTGGTACAGGATTCTTGGACAGGGAAGACTCTTTTCCGAGCCACGAGTAATCCTGGTCTCTACTCTCCAAACACGACTAACAACATATGAACATGTCAATATTAATCAAATTATAATGATAATTGACAACATGTAAACACCCAATATCAAGGATAATAATCAAATCATATTACAAAGCATAATATAGTGTTCACAATATTTAATTAAATCAATTTATGTAAAGCCTCCCCAAGAAAAACCCATACCTCAAATCCAAAGTTATTGTATAACTTCCAGTCGCAAGTCCAAACACTTTGAGCTTCTCCAAAATCTCACCATACTTTAGTTCTCACTCATTTTTTTCTTTGTCTACGATTCTAGGAAACTAAAGCCATTTGAAGAACCTATGATACAAGGAATATTAGGTAGTGCTATTTATAGGAAGTTAAAGTCGGCAAAGATTTAGATGAAAGCTTAATATTGTGCCACACAACTAGTTTATAGGTTCTAGACTACTTGGGTGGCTTGAAAGTAATATGCCACTCCGACTGGCATTATGTGTTGGCTTTATAGAGTGCTTAGTGAGCACTCTATATATAAGAACACTTGCTGTGCTTACACCTCATGCCAACATATCCCACCTTATGCTTTAATTGGTTTTGAGTACTCTATATTTGCAGCACGTCAATCCTTAACAGAAAGCTTATTAAGCAAAAAAATAAAACCTTTCTAAATGCTTTTGTAAAGTGTATATATATATATATATATATTATCAATTATATAGTTTGCAAACTATAAATATTTTATGACATATTAGTTCAGAGCCGGCCTTGGGGTTCGGCGAGAGGGGCCTCGGCCATGGGCCTCCAATTAAGGGGCCCCAAATTTTTCATATATTATATGTATACTATTATCTAATTTATTAATAAATAAATAAAAACAGAAACAACACGCGATTAAATTAGGTTTCTTCGTTTCCTCTTCTCATAAGGTTTCTTCTTTTCCCACGCAGAAACAGAAACAACACGTGCTTGAGGAAGGCGATTCCTCTCCTAGTTAGTTTCTCCATGGAAGAACTCTATTTAATCCACCCATCTCTTAATAATCCACAACCATATTTTTCTCCATTTTCCCCATCTCTCTTCAATACATCCATTATTTTCAGTTTCTCTCATCCTTTTTTTCTCATATCATATTGTGATCCTAAGAATCAATCTCACACTAAAAAGCTCACAAATTGTCTTTGAGATTGATGGTGACCAAGAATGGAGGAACATGAGAAATTGAAAAAGGTAATCGAATGTATAATTTTATATATATATTTGTTCCTATCTATCAAACTATTTTTTCAATTTCCAGATTATACACAAACAATGACTTTGCTGTTAAGAGACTTGACTCTGCTTTATAATTGGCCATAGATAGGATTATGCTCTATAATTGTTTATCATAAAATCATTATTCACGCGCTCTAAGCTCTAGGTAAAATCATTTTATTTGTTATTTTTTTTGCACCTAGGGCCACCCAAAAGTCAGGCCGGATACATATTTAAAAATATGGGGTTTCACAGAAGCAAGCTGTCGTGGAAAATTTTTTGTTCGGTTTGCATTAAGTTGGGGAGGGGGGAGATGTGATTGAAATAGAAATAGAGCCCTAATTTTTCTATTCCTGGGATTTTTGTTATGCTTCCTTTTTGTCTAAGAAGTTTTCATTAAGGGTTTGATGATCCGATGTAGTACAGAGACGAAAAGTTTCACTAAGTTTCAATTCTCGTTTTCATTTTTCTTTTCCAATTTTAGTGGGTATGATATTTATGTTGTAATTAATCATCTAATAAACAACAATCAAGACAGGTCCAACCAGATTCGTACAGTGAACACAAACTCTACGGTTACGCTCTAGGTAAAATCATTTTATTTGTTATTTTTTTGCACCTAGGGCCACCCAAAAGTCAGGCCGGATACATATTTAAAAATATGGGGTTTCACAGAAGCAAGCTATCGTGGAAAATTTTTTGTTCGGTTTGCATTAAGTTGGGGAGGGGGGAGATGTGATTGAAATAGAAATAGAGCCCTAATTTTTCTATTCCTGAGATTTTTGTTATGCTTCCTTTTTGTCTAAGAAGTTTTCATTAAGGGTTTGATGATCCGATGTAGTACAGAAACGAAAAGTTTCACTAAGTTTCAATTCTCGTTTTCATTTTTCTTTTCCAATTTTAGTGGGTATGATATTTATGTTGTAATTAATCATCTAATAAACAACAATCAAGACAGGTCCAACCAGATTCGTACAGTGAACACAAACTCTACGGTTTCCGATGGCAATAGACATGAGAGATCGAAGAGTGAGAACTACGGTATAAACTTCAATTTTTATATTCGTTTTTGTTTGGTTAATTGAATCTATATATTTCTGTTTCAAGGTTGTTATTTGTGATCTTATATATGAGGTAAAGTTCATACTACAGATATTGGTTCCATAAGATGTTGCCTTTGCATTGAATTGTTATGCTTTTGGCTAGTTGAATGATTTAGGTCAATATAATGTCTGAATTTTAACTTGTGTAGTAATTTATCTTTTAAAAATAAACACTATTTGAATATCTCTTAACTTTTAAACTTGTTGCATTGGACGAATAACTATCAAACTTGTCTACTATCTTACTAAATAAGTTAGACATATATATAATGCACAAGTACCCCCTTAAATTTTTTTAGAGTAGTTTGCCACTTCCTTCTCCTTCATCCCCCTCACTGCTCTCCTCTCTCTCTCTCTCTATCTTCTCTTCTTTTTCTCTCTTTGACTTTCTCGATCACGTTGTCTCTCATGATCAGGTGGACCGACATGCCGCAGTTGACCTCTATACAGAAGACATAGCTGCCATATTTAAAAAATTCCAAGCATCAACTAAGGAGGAACTGTCAACTAAACAAGTACGTGAATTCTTGGAAGCTAATGGCCAAGATTTGTCTGGCTCTACTGATACTCTTCTACGAAGATGGTTAGTCCATCTTTGTTTGAGCATATGATCAGAAATATATTATATATGAGAACCTTCAAATTCGTAAACACAATGACGAAGTAAGTAACTAAGTACCAACAAGAGTTGGTCCAAGTGGAAGGGGCTTGGATCCTTTAAACAAGAGGTCCTGGGTTCGATCCCAGGCGCTTGCGAATAGAGCAGACTTTGTTGGGAGAGGCCCCCGCTTTGCGCCCGACAGTTCGAAGATGGTTAGTCGATCTTTGTTTGAGCATATGATCAGAAATATATTATATATGAGAACCTTCAAATTCGTAAACACAATGACGAAGTAAGTAACTAAGTTTATTTGTGAGTTGCTTAATTTTACAACTTACAATTGTTTGTTGCATTGCAGCCAAGACTTGTTGTTCTATGGGCCATTAGGGAAATGCCCTATTTGCCATGAAAATAGTTTGGAGTTCACCGGATATTATTGTGATTTCGACCCTCCTTATGTGGTGAATATCATTCAAATCTCACCCATCTATCCATTCATCCCATATTCTTCACATTTGTGTGTGTCGTGTAACTTTTAATGTGTGTGTTTGGTGCAGGAAGATCAAGGGTTCATCGCTCGTTTTTGGTCAAATTTCTTTCAACTACATATATACAATCCAAGGGTATAACATCAACCTAGCTAACATCTTTTCTTGCATATATAATTCTCATGAATTAAGAATTTGGAATTAAATGGGATGGTTGACCATATTAATTGCAAATAAAGATAAATAAAGATATTAATTATTATTTTTATGTTGGTTCATTACAGTTTGCTCGAAGACTGGGAATAACACCAAATATATATCAAGACGAGGTGGAGATTAATAGCAGGAGGATGAACAAGAGAACTTTCTGGATCTATGTATACGTAGTGGTTTTTGTGCTAATCTGTTTTTGTTTCTTTATGGTCAAACTTTGGTCCAATCTGTCCACACAATGAAGATCCCAATACTTTTTGTTGAAAGCTTAAAACAAGTTTTCTGTTGCATTTCTTTCTACCATTCTTTAAATTAAAACTAGATCAGATGAGTGAAATACCATTTGTTGTAAATTGGGGATGCACATGCCTTGTAGGGATCGAGGGAGAAATTAGTAATGGACTGATTTGTTTCTGTTTTGCTTAATTATTAATTCAAATTGGTCAAAGTTTAGAGCGGTTGTGGAAAATGAAGTTGAACCTGAACTTTCAAGAGCATCTTTGGATCTCTTGCGACTTCTAGAAGGAACCCAGTGTTTTTGAACAATAAATAATTTCTTTTGGAGTTGGAGGTCAAAACAGAAACTTAAGGCGTGGTATGTATTTACGTTCTAAAGAATCAATTGATTAGACATGGTATGCATTTACGTTTTAACTTTGTTTCTCTGTGTGCACTTAGAGTTGAGAGAAAATTTATGCCTTGTTTGTGTGTTGCATGTGTATGAGAAGTGATATAATGACGTTGCTTATCTTTTTAGGTGCCCTTTGTTATATTTCTAAAATATATTCGAGTATTTAAACAGTATAGCGGCGCATCTATACTCTTTAAATATATTATGTTTTAATTATTTATTAATATAAAAAATATAAAAAAACAAAGTCTACAAAATAATTTAAAATAATTCATTACTATTTATTATGTAATTTATGAAATCATTAAAATATTCACTAAAGAAATAATAATGAAAACATAATTACAAATTAAAGTAATTAAAAAAGGCTAAGATATTACTTAATTACATATATAATAAATTAAAGAAGTTGGCCAAAAAATAAGAGTAAAGAAACTAATTTTATATTTTAAAAATAAATATAAAAAAACCAAGAAAACCTATCCTGACGAAAATTCATCGGCAAGGGTATAAGCATGCAAATATTTGCCGGATTAGACCTCTCCTGACGAAAGTTACCTCTGCCGACAAAACTTTGTCGGTAGAGGTCTAATCCGGCAAAGTTTCATTGGGATAGACATGTGCCGACAAACATTGGTCGAGAGAGGTTTTTTTATCATAATAAGTATAAACTTAGTATCTTTAGATCAATAAACATTGGGTGGCTATACTCGATTTTTTCTAACTTTTTAAAAAAAATAGTATAGCCAAATCCAAAGCCGAGTCTATAGCCAAGCCCATTAGCCCAACTCTCCAATGTTAACCGCACTTACCAAACCATCATATAGTGCTTTGTTTATAAACACCTTTATAGGAGTGTGATTTTCGATGTGGGATTTTCACAAAGGGCACCTCAAAAGATAAGCTTACAAAGAAACCTATTTTATTTTTTTTTATTGTTGGTGCAATGTGGAAATATATTTAAAGTGTATAGCCGGGTGGCTATACTCTACAAAAAGAATATTTTAAAGGTCTCGCTGCACGGCTATACTCCAAAAATAGAATATTAAGTAATATAATTCATGAAGTTAATTAAAATATTTAATACTAATTATTCACTATAGAAATAATAATTAAAATACAATTACTAATTTAACTAATTAAATGAGGCAAAGATATTATTTAATTACTAAAAATAACATTTTTGAAAACATACAGCAGGCTACTTTCCCTGACGGCAAAAGGGTTGTTGTCAGAGAAAATTTGTATCTTTAGGGTTTTGTTTGAAAAATTGAAAATTGAAAAATAAAAAATGGAAAGATTCTCGATTGCAGGAAAAGGCTAACAGAGTTAAAAGTCATAGCAAATTATTACACATGTATATTTATTTGCGTTGAGGATTCCGTCGTGCGTGTCTGGGAAATGTGTTTATGTAAAGATAAAGAAATAATGGGAACAATGGTGGGAGAAAGTCAGTATGAGTTTTATATTGTTATTTACAGTGGGATTTTCTCGAGTTTGTGTAACGAGACTACTCTGCACAGGCATTAATATCTTTAAGTAAGGTTTGATTTGAAACTTGGTTTAGACTGATTTATTTGGATTGTATGCAAATAATATCATTACTGAAATAACTACGTGTGGCTTGATCCCCCAATAAGAGTACGTAGGCAACCTAGGTAAACCTAAGTGCAACTACGGAGTAAACTGTGTGAGTTGTGCTTGAATTGCATCAAAATATATCATTGAATCTGTTAACGGTTATTGAGTCTTAAACTCGAAGTGGTTTGCGAATAAGGTTTAGAATTCTTTTTGTTTTGGTGGGCCCGAAGCCTGTTTGGGGTTTGAATTATATATGTATAATGAAGCCTAAGCCACTTTAGATTTTTCTTTTGACGGTGGTTGGAGTGTAGACCTTGCATGCAGGAAGTTGGTGAATTTGTTATGATGTAAGCAGGTACTTATGGTGTACCAAGTACCTACAAAAATTTCTCCCATATTACAATATAACATGTAAATTTTGTAAGAACAATTAGGAAATATATATTTGCATAACGTTTGCCTTCGTTTGAAGTAATTTTTCACTGTGGTGTTGTGGTTGCTACTTGCTATATAGTGTTACACATTCACATATTATAACATGTGTGGATATGTGTTACTTCGAAGGCAACAAAACATTTCTTTTTTCATTTTGATGAAATTATTAATAATAAAAAAATGGCTAGGAACCCCAATCTGCGACTATCCACCCAATATAATCTAAACTACGGGGATGGGGTTCAAACTCGGGCGCAGAGTAAGGAGCATCCACTTTAGCCAACTTGGCTAAGCCCATGTCTGCAAGCCATCACGCATTATCAATCAAAACTGAATTAATTAAAAGGGAACAACTACAAAGCAAATACAACAACATTTGAACTCAAACATAAGAGAATAAGAGGCTAATTATTAAAAGATCAAAATTCTTTAAATTAATGTCTTTTATTGCCTAGAAGTAGGTCCCTCTTCATCTCCATTCTTCGACCTTTTTTCTTCTCGTTTCCCCGAAGGTTCTTCAATTCCTTTGGTACCTTCGTTAGTACTTGGCCCACTTGGACCATTGATACTCATGGTAGGGGGATTGGTTGCAGTGCGAGAAGATGAGCCATTCTCAAACCCTGAACTATGATGCACGTAGTCAAAGAATGAATCCCCGGGCTTGAATCTTTTTCCACTTGTTGCAGCTTCCAGATTCCTTTTCTTTGCATGGGAGCTCATATGTCCCCCCAAGGCACTGCCGCTTGCAAACGACTTACCACACTCGAAGCACGTATACTCACCCATGGGTTTGGGCCGCCGGGGCCGAGACGACGTCGTTGCAATAGCAATAGAAGCAGCAGCAACAGTCGTAGCAGTGCTTTCCCTCGCAACATGAGTTTGTTGGTGATCGTCTCGGGGTTCTTCTTTAATGATGGAAGAGGAAGTAGAAGGCTCATGATTTGGGACAAACTGCGATTGGGATGAAGTGGGAAATCTAGTGGCTCTTACTAGGGTTGGCAGTGAAATTTGGTTGTCGCTTATGATGGATGCCCTTCCAATGTTGAT